CACTCCCCAAAACCTGCAGCCCCCTCCTGGACCCCCCACCCTGCAGCCCCCAACCTGTGTCCCCCTCCTAACAGCCTCCTTCTGCATCCCGCATCCCGCATCCCGCAGGAAAGGGCGAGCTCAAGCAGGCAGGAGGGAAGGAGGTGAGCACTTCTCCCTCCTCTGCTGCACACCACCATGGAAAGCTTCATGCAGGGAGCCAAAAGACTTAAATTTGGCCCTGTGGTGGCTGGTGGGGGTGAAAAGGCTTCAAAACCAGTGTGGTCTTGGTGAGTGGTCCAGTGGACCTCGAAAGGGAGGAGAAAAGTCTCCGTGCTGAGAGGTCAGCTCTGCCTGGGGTTTTGTCCCCTGTGGCTCCTCTGGTGACAGGCACACGACTGGGAAAAGCTCCAGGACAAAACAGGACACCAGAGCCTTAAGGTAAAGATTGGGTTTAACTCTTTGTCTCCCTGTGCCAGGTGCTCCAGGAGCTTTTGTTCCCAGTAACGTTTGTACTGTGGCAGCAGACAGAGGCTTTCATCCAAAAGCAGGAATCAAAATTCGGGACTCAGCCACCCTAGACTACAAGCGACTGCCTGCTCTGAAGGATATTATTGGAAACCTGCACGTTTTTTAGGGCCCCAGTTTATTGCAAGTGGGAGTTTAGGATATCTGCCCTCTTGCAGTCAGCTCTGCCCATTGGAAGAGTGCTTGGACAGGAGGGATAGGTGGGTAACCTGGAAAAGAAAGTAGTGTAGCAAAGTGCTTGGTCTCTCATCTTTCTTCTTTTCTCAGTGTGTGAGCCATCCCCTTGGGCACTGCGAGACTATCGTCTCTGCTCTACAGTGGGGGAAACTGAGGCACAGAAGAGCATGATGCGGTCATGTCCTGCACCTAACTCAGCCTGGGCTGAAACCCTCTGGCATTCCCGTGTGGTGCCAAGGGCTGCCCCAAGTGCAGGGGCAACCTCGCTGAACTCAAACCCTTCTGCCCCCAAACCCTTTCCAATCCCATCAGGCGAACAGCACAACAGGGTGCCGCGGAGAGCTGGGGGGGGAGATGAAATGTTTCTTGCTTCATCCTGCTCCCGTTGCTGCTTCCTTGCTCTTTGTTTCGTCTGTTCCTCCAAAAGAAAGGAGTACACTTGCAGGGTTTGTTTTGGTCTGTGTTTATGGATGAACGCTACCACTAATTGTAAATGGAGCAATTAGACCTTTTCTTTATACAGGCTCCATCGGGGTCTGGCAAAGGATCTGACGAACCCTGTACCTGCACTCAAGAAACACATACACCAAGGGCAGAGCTTTTACAGCCTTCTCATTTACTGTCATGTCCGCACTCATTCAGGAGGGGCAATTGTGTGAGTGCGTGTGTCCTTCCAGCTGCAAAGGATTTACTTATGTATGTGTGTGGCTCACTTAAGTGCACCTGGAAAGGGGCTCCGCTGAGCGGTTCAGGGGACATCGCTCTCATTAAAGGCAGTGGGAAGGGGAGAGCTGGAGTGTCTGTTCTCCCTGGCTTAAACACAAGAGGGATGCAAACGTGCCTGAAGCAAAAACTCATTTATATATTCCAGATAATATTCGCAAATGTGAATTCTGAGCATTTTTTGTCCTGTTTCTTATTCATTGCTTCTGATTCATTCGTTCCTAGTGACAGCCAGCGTTAACTGAGAATGTCTTTCTTCTGTATACCGTTTCTATACATAATGCTCAACTAACCAGGGCTTATATTTACAGTTAATTGTATCTGTAGCAATGCATAAGTGCACATCGTGTGTGAGTGTGTGTGTATGTACGCTCTCTTTATTACGCGTGTGAAATTGTTTGGAAACATGTTTTCTTCTGACAAATCATGAGAGGGATGAAGAAGAGCAGCTCCAAATCTCCTTCTTTACCTCCACTGTTAGCACGCATGTTCTCGTCGCAGGCAGGTAATCCTGTCCGCAGCTGGGATTTAGAGCAAGAGCTGAAATCGTCACGCAGGGGATGCATCCCGGTGTGGAGTCTGTGTGTCTCCTTTCAGACAAACCTCACTCACACTCTTCAAAGGCTGGGAGCCGTTTTCCTTCTTCTTCTGTTCCCTTTTGTCGCTTGCCCTTGATCATGAGCCAAACAGGAAAGGCTGGAGCCCCACGTCGGAGGTCAGACACATGGCATTTCCTCATGGCAAGTGCCAGAAATGTTCTCCTCCACCCAAAGGTGGCTGACAGCCTTCCAGCTCGGAGGTCCGGATCCCACCGCCTGCAGCAGACGTAGGCTCCCGGGCCGTGCCGTGCTGCCCGACCTCCGCTCTGCCCTGCCCAAGCGCGTCCCAACCTCCAGCTTCGGCAGCTGGCTGGGGCACGGTCTCCGTCGGTGCTCAGAAGTTAGACAGATAGTCAGTGCGCGGTCACTTAATAAGAAAAGAGGCAATTTAACTTGTTCAGGACAGGTTTTTCCCAAACCACACCAGCCCAGCAGTGTGGGCTGGATGCTTAGAAAAGCCAGAGCTCCCACGCAGGTTGTTGGGAGCAGGGGGTGTTTTAAGACGTTTTGTTAATCTTTTGAAAGAGCTCTTAAAATCCAGCCCAGTTAGCTACAAAGTGGGTAATGAGCTTATCTGAATATCCAGCACTGGGGGCAAACAAACTTTGTGCCATAAACCTGGCTCTGTGCTGGCTTTTGTTTTTCCAGAAACTGACCCTCTGCCCTTTTTTATCTCATGCAGGCTTCCCATTTCTTCTTCTTTATCGACCTGCTGCATGGTAAGTGGTTTCAATTTCTTCATTTTAACTTCTGCATACAAAACTGAGAGGCTGGCAACCTGGTCCACCAAGAGTCTTCACTAGTGCCCAGCACTGAATTTTATTAACTTCATACACAGCTTTGCTGAGCTCAGAATAAGGCCTGTGATCAAGCAGAAAGTCTGTTTGACTTTGGACAAGTAACATGGTGAGCACTTTCAGACCTCCCCGTGTGCTCTATGTCAGTGCAGGAGACAGCCCTGCATCAGGTTGCAGCCAGGAGCGTGTCCAGCACGCTGGAGCCCAAAACAGAGGTACGGCAGCAGTACCAGCTTGCAGCTGATCATGGGGTATTCCTAGACCCCACCTGCAACTCACAGCTCCATTCCAGTCCAGGACTTTTCTGCCACTCTGCGGCTTCATGTGCTCAACACAGTTTTGGGGACCCATGGGTGACACAGTGGGTCATGGGCTGGAGGAGAGGTCATGGTGCTGGGCTGCAAACCTCACAGAAAGATAAGCAAAGAGTCTAGCTGTGCACAAAAAATTGAAGGTCAAATAAATGAAGGCTAACTTTCCCTTGCAGCATACAACTAACTGTGGAACTTATTTCCGCAAGGTTTTGTCCAAAGTGCAAGAAGGTTCAAAAGCTCATGCAAGTAAAAAATCATTAAAGGCTATGTAGCATTAAGATGTTGATAAGAGAAACGCTGTGATAAATGTTGTGTGAGGATGTGTAGATTGTGTGAGGATTTGTACATCCTTTCACAGCCTACTTGGTCCACGTAGAAGATTATGGTTTTATTGATAAATTTAGTATTTTTGCAAGTAAGCCCTGCTCCTCCTTTTCTTGATTTCAGTGGCTCTTAGATATGCGTTTATAATTTATAGCTAATAAAGTATTACATTAATATTTCTCATTTTCCTGCAAAAAAGTGTGTGGCTTTTACTATGCACTCATTACTCATCTGCATTCCGGTTCATTCCAGTGGCATTTTGGCTTCCAGGACAAACCTGCAAGTCTAGCAGCCTTGTAGCTCGTACATGACTGCTTCTTTCCCCAAATCAATGTTACTCTTCTAACAAGATGTTTGTGGAAAACAAATTTCCAAAATATTTGTGCATCTGAGCTCAGTATTTGGCTTCTGCAAGTATTTGGCCACAGAGTCACGTCCTTGGCTTCAGGCTTTACGCACAAGCCTTGTGCAAACCGGTTGATTTGCCTTTTGATGGTAGAGTAATCCCTTTCACCGTTTCTTAATTCATTCCCTCCCTCGTGTGTTATGGTCCTTACCTCTGTCCCTCCACCGTCCCTGCACTCTCCCGCTCCCCATCTTCCTGCGAGTCCCCACTCCTTCAGCCGTCATCGGCCGCCTTCGCCCAGCGCCCGTCCCTCCAAGGAAAAGGTGCTGCAAAACTGCTTTTAAGTAACAGCCACAAAACTATTTGAAAGGCTTGCTGGCTTTGTTGTTAGCGAGTCTCACTTTTTTCACAAGTTCTTTCTGAAGCCACAGATAGTCCCAGCCACAACCTGCGTGGAAGGGAGGAAATACCGTGAGGTCTCATCTCTGCAGAAGTGAATGGGGAACATCTCGTTATTTAAAATACAGTCAGGATTTCAGCCTCATAAAAATAACACTACATTATTCTCAGAGCTGGAGACAAAAAGTATTTAGAGAGGTGGTAGAAAAACTCATCCTGCTTAAATTAGGCCAGATTTCAGTCAGTCCCCAGAGGTTCAGAGAGCTTGAATAAATGCTGGGTACTTTCTGGTGCTCTTGATGTGTGTTGGCAATATGCTTTAACTTTGCACATCACTCATCTTGACAACTGCAGTCCAACAAAGTTACCTCGCAATTCAGGTCACTCGATGGCATCCTAATGCATCACTTTCCCACTCGGAACATTAGTCATGACTTGATCCAGTGAAGGTTTTGAAAACAGTGTGACTGCCGGCGTTGGGATATCTGTTCTCTCCATAACAGAGAGCCCGTGTAAGCTAATGAACAAGGGGATATTGATCAGAAATCCATCGCTTGATTGACAGCTCTTGGCAATGTGAAAAACTGCAGATGAAAGCTTGAGCAGTTTAAAAGATCACCCAGACCTCAAAGCTGATTTGAAGCTTTAAAAGTCAATCTCTGCCTATCAATTATGGGGGGATTTTTTTGTACTACACAGAGGAAAGTTATTCTTTGAAAATTTGCATGCAGGATGTCTAATTTAATTTCATGTAATAGTCACATTTCAGTGACAAATGTCAGATCACTGCTTTTTTTAAGCATGTTAAGGTTTTCCAGCACTTACAAAGAATGAACACTCTGATTTAGTAATATGTTTAAATCAACCACAGTATCAGACTTTGTGCGTTAATTATGTGCTCAGATAAAAAAAAAGTGTTGTTTTTGCTTTACTAAACCTATAGCTTGTTATGAATAATTAAAAAAATGGAATGGGAACACTTCTTAAATAAGAGATGTGGAAGCCAAATAGTGATTTAGTGTTGAAGCAATGATAAATGAGAAGACATCTTTTAGTTTGATGTCACGTACCCAAGTCAGGGTATTCTGTTCTTTGTTTTTCACAGCTTTGTGTGGCTGGGGAGGACACGGAGTAGCTGGGAGATAGGAAGCATCACTCACGTGACCCGTAGAAGCTATTTCTGTTTCACAGTTTCATAAAGAGGGATGGCAATGGAGAAAGCAGGGACACTGGTGATTTCTCAGATTGGCTGCACTCTCACATCGCTGTGGCTGGTTTCCCAGCCAGGCAGCTCAGCTCCACGACTCCCACTACTCACACGAGGGGCCAGGGTACCCAAAAGGGTTTGCTGATGTTTTCCGAGCCCTTTCCGCGTGTGCCCTTAACTCCACAGCTTGGCCATAAAGTTTCACTTAATGGTAATCGCCAGCCTACGAGGGGGTTGCTCAGTGCCACTCACTCGACTTTAGCCCTGGCCACCCAAAGGTGCTATCCTCGAGGGCTGCTGGGTGCCAGCCTGGCCTCAGGTGTGCATTAGCCTGTCCCAAAACTGCCCAGGGGTCATCTGCCTCATCAGTGCAAACAGGGGGTTGTGCTCCTCCACCTCTCAGAGCTGCCAGAAGCAGACATCCTGCAAAACGTGAATTGCAGCTTGGCCAACTTGGGTTTTACTGCAGAGATGCGCTTAAAATAGTCCATAATGGGTCAACAAGTAATTTCCTAAGTGTTGTTAATAAATGATTAATCTATTGCTAAGAAATTATGCCAGTGTAACAAAATGAAGTGACAGTCTTGTAATTTCTTAACACCATACTTACACTGAGCAGTTGATTTAAAAATCATGGTAGAGGCTTCTACAATGGCTTAGCTATTTGTGCTCATTCTGAGCACTTGTTTTTCCTCTGTCAACTCAAGAGAGTCCTCACCAGCCTCTGTAAAACATGCTGGGAGTCTTTGCAGTCTGCTTTTGACAGCTGTAACTCCCCTGTTCATCCTTCATAACTTTTAACAGGTATATCTTTTTTATACAAAGGGCTACCCCATCCCTCAGGATACTTCTTTAAAGCATCTGTGGAATAAAAGCGAACATTCCCCACTAAGATTTTGAAAATAAACAGGGGAAACAAAATCAGACTTGTTCAGACAGTTCCCTCAAACTCAAGTCCTCTTGCAAAATCTCCCCTCCGACAAAGTGAGCTTGCAGGCTGCATTTCAGGCAAAACCCTCTTTTTGTTTTCCTTTCTTAACTACATCACATTAAATTTAATTTTGTTCACTGTAGACAATGTCCTTATCTTCCAGTGAGATCCTTCTGTTCCTCAGCAAGGCACACACTTCTGCAACACTTGCACACTGTCGAGACTCAGCTCCTGTGGAAATAATGAGCTGAGGAAAAGGAGTCTTGACTTGACATAGCAATAAATGAGGTGAAACTTTCCTCTTTTTTTTTTTTTTGGTGAGAAATGAGAGTTGGCATGTAGGAAAAAAAGAAGAAAAAAAGACAGTTCTATTTTAATATGAAATATAAAACACCCATTGTACAAAAGTGGAATTTCTTTTTTTTTTTCAGAAGCAAAGAAAGAATAAAGATAAAGGCTGCAAGCGAATGAATGAGGAGAGAAAACTAAGATAATGCAGTCGATAATCAGTTCAAGGCAGAGCATTATCCATGGGGCCATCGGTCCGGCCCTAGGGGAGAGCTTTTTAAAATGTCTCTGTACGTAGCTTAGCTTTGCTCATTACCATAGCTTGTCTTTGAAACACCGGAGTGGCTTCCACCGGCAGCGGCCGTACCTGTGCAAGGAGCTGCCAGCCCACTTTAATCAACCGACCCCCCCAAACGCGGGCTGGCAAAGCTGCGGGTCCTGCCAGCGCCAGGCTCCCGGGGAGGACGCTGGCTGCTGGGAGGCTGCAGGCTCCGCGGAGGCAAGGTTGGGTTTTTCGGCACGTGTCTGCTGTGCCCGACCCTCGCTCCTCTGCAGGGGCTTTTGGACGGGGAGCCACATAGGCGTGCGGGTGCCTTGGGCCCTCGTTCCCCTCCGATTTCCCCCAAAATGGGTTTCTGTGTCCCCACGCGCAGCAGGCACCCACGTGCTGATGAAGGTCTTGCCTTGCGCTGCGGCGGCGGCGATGCTGGTGGTCAAAGCAGCTGGACAAAGAAAAACCCTTCTTCTCGTAGGAATCTAAATCTCCTTTTCTCACTGTGCCGGTAATAGCCATCAGCACCTCTCCTGGTTGTGGGGCCGTGCGGGGGGGGTCGTGCCCGTGCCTGCAGAGCCCCCCGCCTGCGTCCCCTCCGGGGCATCCCAGTTGCCACCGCGGGAACTGGCTGAGCAGCCAGGGCTCCAGCACCGGTCCGGTGGTGCACTGGGTGAGCTCTGTCCACGCCAAGGAAGAGCTGAACAGCACCCTTGGTCCTCCAGACAGTGCGAGCTCTGGACCCGCTGGTGTCCCAAACAAGCTGAAGGAGAAAAGGACTGGGCATCCCAGGGAACGGCTTCTTTGATACCCTCTCTCCTTCAAGCAGTTTTAATTCCTCTGTTCTTCCACCCGCTTCTCTCCCCTCCCTGCAGACCAGGCTGATGAATACGAGTACTACGACGAGTACACGCAACCGGACCAGGACCCCCTCCTCCAGCAGCAGTCCTCGGAGGACCCCGACTGGTTCGAGGCATTTTTTGGCTACAGCGATACTGGAAGAGGTACCTCTGAGGGGTGGGCAGGGAGGTGAGGAAGGGGTAAAATCCCAGCCCTGCGCTTGCAGCATGAGCGTGGCAGGCCTCGGCTGCCAGCCTGCTCTGGAAATGCTTGCATCAAAGAGATGAGTTAGGAGGATTGTTTGCAGTGTTCTCCTTTGTATTTCTCTTGTAAGGAGCCTGTGTTTTATCTCTGGGTTTCACAGGATGGATTCTGATAATGCAGAACATTTCTGATTGCTACTACAAAAAAGCACAGGCTTATTTGTCTATAGACACTGTAAGATGTAATTGCTGTTTTCATGGGATATATGTTCTGTATCTATGCTGGGAACCAAATGTAGAGCAGGCTTCCTTTTTTTTTTTTTTATTTCTTCTCAGTTGCAGGGTCTCCTTTTCTCTTTTCTTTTCTTTTTTCTTTTCTTTTTTTCTCTTCTCTTCCTGTTTTGCCAAACTTCAGGAAAGCAGGAAAGGTTCCTTGAGATTGCTCAGGGAACACAAAAGGAGAGACAGGGAAGTTGCCTGTAACATCCCCTGGGTTATCCCCAGGTACAAAGAAAGCAGAGCTGGTATGTGACTGTCCCCAGCACAAATTGCTCCTGGCAGCCTGGAGTGGAGTGGAGAGGTTGAGCATGGTGTAAGGAGCAGCACTCCAGTGACTCTCAGCAGGTGCCTGCTCCCTTGGAGCAATAGCAATAACACCAGGAGGTATTACACGGTATAATGGTGGGGGATGGCTATTGCAGGGGAGATTTACTGCCCAGTTGTGACCAGGGCAATGCCAAATCCAGACCCCTCCACACTAAGTGCATGAAGGCACATGCCCAGGGCCAGCTCTAGTTTTTAAGGCATCTGCTTCTGCCGCTGCCATCGAGTTAAATCTGTCCCTGAGCAAAGGAAGGGACTTGCCCCATTACAGGTCCATCATAGACATGGCAAAGGGAGCTGAGGAGCTCCAGACCCAAAGCCATGAGCTGTTACAGCTTGCGATAAGCTCTGCAGCAATTCATAGCTGCTCCTATGGCTGCTGAGCTGATGCATAAGCACGGTATGTGTTACACGGGATGCTGTGCCCAGCAAGGCAGCCTTCTGCAATTAGAAAATGTGAGAAGAAAAAGCAGGTGATGGAGGTGGAGAAGCTGAAAATAAAACTAAAAGTTCTCCATCCTTACCCCAGCAGACCCATGCTCCTCCAACCCCTGCAAGAACAACGGTAGGTGTGAAAACAGAGGAAGCAGCTTCAGCTGTCTCTGCCCCGAGCCATACGCTGGGACTACGTGTGAGAAAGGTAATCGCCCTTTTGCTGATTTACACTCCTTATGTTGGCAACTGATGTTACCGTTACAGCTCTGTCAATGGAAGCAAACACAGGGCTTTATAAACCCACTGTTTGCTAGGCTGGGGGTTTTGACACCCCATTGCAGTCATGTTCATAGGTCTCACACTTAGTTCCTCATCCAGATCAAGGTCTGTCTAAAGCAGTATCCAGTAAAATAGACTTCAGGTGTGCAGGAAGCACTCCTCTATCCCCTGCCAGGTGGGCAGTGGGGAGCTGCTCGTTGGTCCTGCAGACTTTTTGCCATAGATACTGTGAACAAGAAGAGAAATCCCAAGTCCACACCAGCCAAATGAAAGCCTCCTCAGAACGTCAGCGTGTCTTCCCATGGTCCCTGCAAGGGCACAGCTCTTGCGCACACACAAATGCTGATGAAGTACCTCGTGTCTCTGTTTCACACAGTGAAGAACATGTGTCTGGAGAAGCGTTGCCATGGTGGAGACTGCCTGATTACATTAACCCCACCTTATTTTCAGTGCAGATGCAATCATCCCTACAAGAAACCCGACTGCCAACGAGGTGAGCACTCAGCAGAACGCTGAGTGAATTGTGGTGGGGACAGTACGGTGGGGTCACCTCACCACGGCTGGTCAGAGGTGGGAAATCACAAAGAGCCCACTGCAGAGGGTGGTCCTGCCCTAGTCGTCCAGCCTGAGTCTGCTACAGCTCCCATCCGTGGGGCTGGTCAGTGATGAATCATGCTTGATTTATAGGGTGGTGGTTCAGTCACTGGTAAAGCCCCCAGTGATAAGTGTTTTTCAAGAGTTCATAAGAACTTGATGCCGGCAGGCTAAGTGGGAGCTCTCCCAGTTTCCATTGGGCATGCAAATGGCTGCATAGTGTTCAGCAGAGCGACAAAGCTGTTCTGTGTTTTCCACATTGACAGCATCTTCACCGTGCAGGCCAAACCCTTGCAAAAATGGAGGTATCTGCATACGGCACAGAATCAGATCCAAATTCACCTGCAAGTGCCCTGAACCTTTCAGCGGGAGGTTCTGCGAGATCGGTATGTCACCACACCAAGCGCCGAACATACCCGGGGCACTGGCCTCCTTGGGGAGAGCGTTGGAGGAAGAAGCTGACTTCTGCAGCCACCATTAGCAAAGGGACTCCAAACAGTTCCCATAATGATGTTTTCTAAGTGTGCTTCAGCAAGGCCCCACTGGTATATAATGAATGAGCACATATTTCGCAGAGGTTGCATGTGTCTCATGGGGTAGGAGCGTCGGGCTTTCCTTAAACACTCGAAAGCTGATGTAGTAAAGATTCATGTCCAGTTGCCTGTGACTCCCCAGGCTGAGGGGACAGACACTGATACAGGATGGGTGGCCAAGGGCATGGGATTACCCCAGCCTGCGTGGAGAGCCTTCTGCCCCTGCAGCACCACCATGGGCACCACACTCCACGCATGTTTCCAAGGAGAAGGATTTCTTTCTTTCTCTTTTAAAAGTTGATTGCACGTCAAACTCTATGTACCAGTACGTGCTCCACATTGCAGGTGACTTTTCCTCCACCTCGCTTATACGTTAGGTTCACAACCCCACAACCTTCCTTTTGGCTCATCCATTGCCCTAGAATGATAGCAGCTCTATGCCCACTTCTGTCTAATCCTGCTGATACCATTTCTTGCCCAGGACACTGATGGACAGATTCAGCTTTGGCATTAAGACACCTCTTAGCTGCTAGGTCTTCACCAAGCAAAGAGGTTTCAGGCATTTGAAGTCAATCAAGCTTCAAGCTGGACAGATGTTGGGACATTACTCTTATTTCTGGCCTCTGTAGGATAAGGGATATAATTACAGGACCCAGTAGGTCCTTCTGATCCTCCATAAAATTAACATAGGGCAAGGAAGGGAAGGAAGAGGAATCACTTTGGGCAAGGAAAAACACAAAAATAATTTTCATATCAGCATTGTCTTCCTACAGGACCAGATGATTGTTATGAAAAGGCCTCCTCTAAGTACAGAGGAAGTGTGAACCAAGCGGTGAATGGCAAGACCTGCCTGCACTGGAATTCCCACGTTCTCTTGGACTACCCTATTAATGCCTTTATGGAGGACGCTGACTCTTATGGCATCGGTGAACATAACTTCTGCAGGTAATATTTTGAAGAAGCAACTGTGGAGGTCTATATCAAAGAGAGCACTGAGGAAAAACTGCTCATGAGTTTGGCAAACTGATGGTGTTAAGATCTCACGTCTTTCTAGACACCGCTTGTCTATAAAATACCAAGATGTTAGAGGTGCATTCCCTAAGTCACTGTACTGAGGTGAGGTTTCCAGAAGCAGCCCTCATTTCCCTGAATCAGTCCCTCATTTTTCTTAGGGTTAAGATGGGTATGGGAATAGTAAAATGGCAGAAGCCCTGCTTTCTTATCTCGGGTATCTTCCTTGTCAAATCTTATGAAAGAGTATCTTTGAAAGCTTGGCTGTCATATGGGAGCATGAGGCTGCTTCCCTAAGCATCCTCAGATCCTTCACTGGTTTCGTGGAGATTTCCCCATTCCTGCTGGCTGATGCTCTCAAATGTTCCCTTCAGGAACCCCGATGAGGATGAAAAACCCTGGTGCTACATCAGAAAAAGTCACAAAGTGGAATGGGACTTCTGTGATGTTTCACCCTGCTCAGGAACAGGTAAAGAATCAGAAGTAAGTTTGGCGGCATGTAGGTGGTCCAGAGCAGCAGGTAACTCCCTGTTACTTAACTCCTCCAGTCCGATATTATCTCTGCATAATGTATCTGCTGTCTCTTCCAATGCAGCTGAAGAGAGCCTATGGCCAACAGACAGCTCAACAGACCCACCTGGATCAAATGAAATATTCAAAACATGTGGACAACCAGAAATTCAAAGGCCACTCACGAGGATCTATGGTGGAGCTAAGACTACAGCTGGCAAACATCCCTGGGTGGCATCTCTGCAGATAAAGACTTCAAAAAGGAACACACATTTCTGTGGTGGAGTGCTAATTCAAGCATGCTGGGTTCTTACTGCCGGGCACTGCATTGAGTAGGTGCATGTCCTATGCCTAGGGTAGATAAATGTATAAAAATCAGGATGGTTATTAAAGGCAGTTTGGAATTCAAACTATCTGCAATCTAAATGATTGCTGGGAATCAAATTGAAAGGAAAACTTATATGTGAAAAAATGAACACGTACATGAAAATATGTATATACTTGAAGATGGTGCTTGCTGGAATAACAAATTAAACTTACCCCCCACTCACCCAAAATGAGCTAAAATAGTTGTGTGAGAGGAAAAAAGGAGGAAAGTAACAAAGTTTTGCAATGTAGAAAAGAATGTATGAGAACTTCAGGGGATATTGGGATACCATAAACATCATCACGTATTGCATCATAATTAATATCTCCAAAACAGCCAAAATATGCATTGTGCTTTCAATTGTTTATGTGCCAGCTAGCTTAGAATATGACATTCCCTTCAACATTTTTGTTGAATAGGTTGGAAACCACCATACTTGGAAACTGGTAAATTACACTCTGGAGATCATTCCAGCTCAGATGATTTTACGCATGCCCAGACAATGGCAAGCAATTGTACCCCCATGGCTCCATGAGTTGCCACTCATCATCATAGCTGTAGTAACAGACTGTGTGCACTGCTACTCTGCCCTAAAATGCAAAGAAAACAATGTTTGTGCAGCTTTAAATCACTTTATTTCATGATTGCAGCAAGTTAAGAGCACATGTATTGTCCAACACCACCGCTTCCCTGACTAAGCCCTCCTATAACAATCTTAGGAAATCTTCTTGCCATGCTCTACAACAGGAAGCAATATCTTGACTTCCAGATACTAAAGGTGCAGGTTTTCACCACCACTGATAGACAATGTCTGCATGTAATTTACTTTTTTTTTTTTTTTTGCAGGCAACCAGCAGAAAATCTTCAGGTAGCCCTTGGAAAGCAAAACCTCAAGAAGAAAGAGCATCAAGAGCAAATATTTGATGTGGAGAAGATCATCGTACATTACAAATACAGAGAGAAGGATGGTGTCCCACACAATGATATCGGTAAATCCCTTTTATTGAATATTCATGTGGCTCACCTCCAACCTCAGTTATTTGAACGCCTCTTTCCAACTCAAGTCAATGTACAATTTCCATTGAGACTATATTCTGGAAATAATTAGGCCAAATTGAGGTTTAGACCCATTTGAATCTTTAGGATGTGAATTGTGATGGGCAGGCAGAAGTCACTGTGTGGGAGGAGCAAAACAACAGGGACAGGTCCAGCATATAGTGCAAATAGCACGTCAGGTATATGCAGCTTTGCGTGGGGTTGTGTCACAGACTGGTAATGATGGTTAGGGATTAAAATTAGCTACAAATACTTTTTGTTGTTGTTTATCGTCTCTCCAGCACTACTGAAATTGAAGCCAGTTGATGGTCACTGTGCAGTGGAAACAAAGTATGTGAAAACAGCGTGTCTGCCGCACTTCTTCTTTCCCGTTGGGACTGACTGCTTCATTTCTGGATGGGGCATGACAGAGACAGGTATTTGTGGCCTAGCTGGATTTTGGTGGGTACTTCCATGGCAAGGTGGGCTGGTGCTTTCAGTAGCAATTGCCAGACCCAAATGTGGACCTAGGCACTTAGTGAAAACAAGAGATGGGATTCAGAACAAAGGACAGATAAACCCTGCCATGGAAATTACTCATTAGGAGAAATCTCCAACTGCTAGACCAACCAAACCTTTCAGAGTTCTGAAAAAATCTCTGATGCATTTTTTTTGCTTGCCATCTGACACACCATGTCATGGTTTCATCTGAAGCCAGCAATAGAAGCAAGAAGGTATCAAGAGAGAGGCTATTGTATAGTTTGTGTGTTTCAAGACAGGACCAAGAAAGATGGGAACTTTCACATGGTTTTCCAGCCCATTGGGTCAGATAAAGCTTTTCAGAAGCAGCATCTGGATCTTCAGATGCACTGAAAAATAAAAAATCCCAAAGCTTTTCAAGTTCAACCAGCTCTATCCAAAACCTTTCTTGCCCACAGTAAATCCTAAGGGGAGAAATTACTATGCTTAAAAAAAGATAATGGCAATTTTCTGAAAAATGCATTTTCTCATGTTCTGATTGATGTGTTGCTGTAAAGCAGCAGAAGGAAAATGTGTCACTGAGGCTGCAGTAGGTGTCCTAGTGCTTTGTGACTGATACAGCCTGATACGATACATAGGACCAAATTCTCCCTTCTGATGTAACTCTCATTGAAGTCCACAAGAGACAAGCGTGTTCATTTGATCAGAATGCACCAACAGAATTTAATGGACATTTTTTAAAAGTTCCAAATAAAAAGTCTCTCTTAAAAAGGGTACGGGGAATTTTTTTTTTTTTCCCCCAACAAAGATATCAAGTACCCTGTACATGTTCACACTAGATGGCTACTTCTTTGAGCAGAGCTATTATTAGCATTTCAGGAAATCACTGCAGAAATGGAATATTTCCTGAAACTCAAGCAGAACCAAACTTATAAACCACCTTTGATTATCTACAGATGTAGTGCTTTGAAACTCTGGCTATTGCCTTTAGATGTCAAGTTATGTCTTTAGATTCACTGTAATTAATCATTGCCCTTAAATATTGTATGATTTTCAGTTTTCATCTGTTTCATTAACTTGTGTGTTAAAACATCTAATCGCACCAGTCTGAGAAGTGCTGAGCAGCTCAAAGCCCCATGGGGACCTGTGGGAGCTGCAGACAACCAGCACCTTTGAAAAGCAGGATTACACGGGTAAAGCTGATTGGAGCCAAATTCTGAATACTTGACCTTATGCTTTTATTCAAGCAACAACTTGGTATCCTGAGTGAAGCTTCCAGGCTCCAACTCTATCCCTTATCATTTCAGACAGGTACTTCTTTTCTTCCCAGGCTAGCACATGCATTCCCCCCCCGCGCCCGCTATTCCCCCCTCCCATCCAAATGGCAAGCAAGCTCGTATTTTGAACAAAGACAACATGTAACAGGATTGGAAGGAAGGTGACTCCATTTTTTTGGTGCACATCCTGTAGATGAAGAATCCCATCAGCTGCTAGATGCCAATGTCAAGCTGATTTCACAGAAGAAATGCAGTGCACCCAGAGCATATGATCACATACTGGATGAAAGCATGTTTTGTGCAGGAAATCTTCGGAGACCCAGAGCCGATTCTTGTCAGGTCTGTTGCTTTTTCTGTATTTGAACACTAATTTTTTGTGTAAATAGTCAGGCTGTGCAGAGTAATAGCTTTGGCAGGGTGCTGCATATGTATCTGTTTCTCCCATCAGTGTATTTCAACAGTGACCATCTTTCTTCAGTACAGTTTGAGATGTATATCCCTAGAGCTAATATTGTCACTGTCAGCCACAGGCAGATCTATGGAAGCTAGAGACTAGCCTGGAAAGTTTGGCTTCTGAGGCAGTTTGTCATAATAACCTGGAAACTTGCCTTTTTTCTCTCAATTTTATTATGGCCTCTGCTATGAGCACCAATTCTAATCTGATTTTCAGTATCAGAGCTAAGACTCGCAGGGAAACTCAGGACTGGTATTTCTTTTCACTACAGCCAGTGCAAATGTGAAGCAAGTTCATATTTATACTGTTGTAAGATAGGGAAGAGTTTGAACAATGCTTCCTGACATGCAAACTACCACTGCAAGCATACTTCACAATAGAAATCACCAATAAAACAACAACAAAAAAAAGAGACCAACCAGCTCAGTATAAAGTTATTTTGAGGGGTGTGGGAGAGATCAAGTGTTTTCATTTATGTCAAGGATCACATCTTTATCTTTCTGAGGTCAGGTTCTTAATGCCTGGTACTTTCATGCCTGGGAAATTTCATGTGACCTTGTCAGATATACGTCACAGACTTGAACAAACAAAAACTTACATCCAAAAAGTCTGGTATCATTTGACCTGGTTCCAGAACTGCAAGCCTATTCAGGGACTGAGCAGCATCTGATAGTACATGTGATAGGAAAAAAAAAAATCATTACAGCTTCAAAGCCTTATGATGGGAGGGGGACATTCTTATTCTGGTTAATGTCTTGCTCCATATTTTGAATGTGCGTGCTTTTTCTCATCAGGGAGACTCCGGAGGCCCACTAACTTGTGTAGAAAATGGCTCCTACTATGTATATGGCCTTGTGAGCTGGGGTGATGGATGCGGGTTAAAGAACAAGCCAGGAGTTTATACCCAGGTGACAACATTTCTCAGTTGGATTAAATCCAAAATTCAGTCTGAGTCAAGGTCACTTCATTAGGAGACAGCTTTGGAATGACACATGGTAAGCTTGAGATATTTACTTATTTTTATCATTTCCCCAAATGCCTCCTCTTTGACCAAAACCATTATTGATATTTCCTCATGGCCTACATGGAGCATCCTTCACCACCATCTTGAAAATAGCCTTAGAGCATTTGCTAGAATGCCAGTGACAGTTTTCCTGTTGGGGACTTTGAAATAAGCCCACATTTTGTATGCAAAACAGATCAGAGAGTAAAGCAACTCCAGTTCTTCCCCAAATCAATCAGAGCCACAGTTGCCAATGTTTCAGTTTTGGTTTTGAAGCCTTGAAAATTCTGCAGGCTCAGCTGCTGCCACCCTGTCCCTCTTGCCCTCATGCCCCAGGCTAAGGTGTGTTTTTTCTGGACACATTGGACCCTGACACCTCAAAGCTATTGGTGTGTGCTCCTAAAGCCAGTACTGTTTTTCCCATATATAAAAATCATCATGTGCCTATGTTTGCAAGACTGCAGCCATTAGAATTTATCTGAGGAGGGAGGATCAGGCAGAAGAATTGTTTTTAAAAGCACTTCTGTAGGACAAATTCCACCAGTGATGGATTCCAGATTGAAAAAGCAAAAAAAATTTCAATATTAGAATTATCCACTTTATTCCTGATTAGAGGATAATTACTTCTTATGCTCCAGATCTACAATGGTATACATGTGCTTAACTTCAATATCAGTGAGACTTAAGCGGTATTAAAGCCCATTAAAAAATATGGGTCTAAAGCCATTGGATAATTCTTGGGTTTTCATAAGTTTTGCAAGTCAAATTGTGTAAATTTTGCCCAATGATTCTGTACAGAAATTTGAAAAACAGAGGATTGGTATTAAATCAGGATATAAAGAATAGATGTGTTTTTGAAGAGTCAATTCCTTAAAATAGTAATGTCCTTTTCATCTGAATTCCAGGGTTTACAACCTTCTCTAAGCAGCTACGTAATCTATCAATATCTACCCTTATTGTGATAATTTCTAACAAACTAATTCTGATTTTTTTGCTTTGGAAGATTTGAAAAAGACTGAAGAATTAATTGCAATATGAATACATCATGTTAATCAAGAACAAATTCTTTGACGTCTGCTAAAAGGCATGCCCTTGGTTAGTCAATGATAACTTTGCTTCCATTGGCCTTTGTCTTGTTTATCTGTTAAACCACCTGAATCACGCTTTTGTATTCTCTTAGGTCAATGGTGCCAATAATCCAGGAACATAAAAATCTCCAAAGATTACAAGTGTGGAATAAGATTCATCTGATTTATTCATTACAAATTATTTTATATTCTACCAATCAGGTTCATTCATCTGTAGTACAAAGCTGAGCCTGCCAGTCACCTAGTATTAATTTCATTTACAGCTTTAAATAAATATCAGATTCTGTAATACATACAAAGATAAATCACAAAATATCCACACAAAAATAAAACAATCACTTATAAATTGCAATGTTTAGGTTGCTTTTTAAAACAAAAAGTTCTTAGACGCCATCTATTGTGCTTCCCAGAAAACTGGAAAAGCTACAGGATTTGCAGGACAATATGAAAATCTATTTGTGTTATGTCATGTTTCTGTTTACTTCTGATACAGCTGCATTTTCCTTCTCTTGAATTGCAGAATTTCTGAAGCATCAGGGTTGACTGTGACCTGCTGAGATCCTTCTGTCTCCAATTCGTCCTGTAAAATCAAACCCAAGTAAATTGTGAGGACAGCCAGTGGACAGGAGGTTTTAACTATTATTCCATAAAAATGTTTGCATATTAAAAATTACCACAACTGGCAAACAAGTGAGCAAAATCTGCATCACTGCTCTGCACTGAGCAAATCTCTACAGTGGGAAAGTGCAAAAAATGGAGCCGTTCATATAAGTTAGATACTACACATACCAAAGGACTGAATGTGCTCAAGTCCTAATTTCTAATTTGAGCCCTAAATAAAGAGCAAACTAGCAAACACCTGTGTTCCAGATGGATTGCACACCTGTAGATTTCCCTGGAACCATCAGATCATTATCATACGTAGGGCTTAAGATATTGCCTGCAGTCCCCACTGCCTGCATTACTCAACCACAGTTATAATTTATTTCTGGAGTAACCTTTCGGATGGGAATGTAAATCATGGATATGTCCTGTTTTTCTTGGGCTGGATTATTGTTTGACTTGTTGCCAAAGTTAAAACTTAAATGAAACAAGTATTTAAAGTGCAGAGCTTCTCTTTTATTGTAATTTAATGCTTCCTAACTGCAGGGGCTACAAGGTCCCTATGTAGACTTCTGCTTTCTTGTGCAGGTTAGGAGTCACCCCTGTGGAGGCAGGGTTCTCCAGGAAAACCTGGAAGATCCCAGGTTGTAATTTCTTGCCTCTTGATCTGGACAGAGATGGAGGAGGCTGGAGCATTCCCCCTTTGCAAAAAGCCTCCCACAGTATTGGGGAGCCTCCCACAGTATTGGGGAGCCTCCCACAGCACAGATTATGCTGTTAGGAGTCTACACTGAGCCTGTCAATACAGTTGCCAGTGGAGATTACATGGCAACATGTAATTACATGGCAACACATGGTGTCTTGCTGAAACTAGGAAAAGAGAAGGGGAGTTGTACAGGGAGTCCCTTCTGCCTCTACTTCTGCTTTGCATGGAGGTACCAGGACTTTTGGAGATCTGACAACATCCACAAGTTAAGGGAAACACATCCCATAGTATAAGTAAATCCTATTCTGTGGCACTTTCTAGTCCCTACAGGAATTCCTCAGCCATGACAGTGCTGAATTCTCTTGAGAGGTTCCTTCAAGTTAAGGTGTACACAAAGCCACAAAGCTTTGCAAGGGAAGTATACGTATTCTGTTCAAATAAAGGGGACAACTGTTGACTCCAGGGAGTATTCAAAAGCATTAAACAGGATGTGTGCCTGTCTGCCTTCTGGAGAGCAGTGCTGTTTGGATTTGTGAGAAGAACAGTCTACTCTACTTACAACTCCAGGTCCATACTGAGCAGAAGCACCCTGCAATCCCATTTCCCGAATGTACGCCAACTCAGCAGCTCTTCTTGCCATTTCGACTTTGTGAGAACCTGGGGGAGTCCAGCCAATGCCTCTGAGCCAGTTCAAGTCAGACTTGTATTTTACCTGAGAGAATGAACCATACACCAGTGTGCATTATTTTGTTTGGCTCTAATCAAACCACATGTCCTGGGTATTCAAGAGAGAGCATATAAAGAGCAACAGAGTCAATAATAAACAAGCTATTCATTTTCAGCAAGCAGACTGTAGTTCTTTCAAGAGTGTGATTTTGTTGATAGGTAAAGTCTGTGAAGCACATTGCCACAGGCAGCTCCTAGCACTTGGAAGGACAGTGTTGCTCAGCTATACTTACATCACTCTGCAGCTTGTAGGCCTGCTTTGCATGCTTCACATTCAGCTGCTCAGGATCACAAGTGTATTGGTGCAAAGGCTGCCTGTAGTTAACACTGCTTGCAAGCTGCTGGCTTCTCTTAGCATGAAGGAATCCTGGCTGGTTGATGTGACTCTGGAACTGTGCCCTGTTTTGGGCATATCCGCTCCTGTATTGGTTGTCACTCTGGAGTTTCCCCGCTCTGAGGACATGCCTGATTTTGGGATCATCATTTGCACTGAGGAATCCAATCTGCTGGCCTCTGTCTCTCAGGAAGGCTTCTCTGTATTTGTACTGCAGGAATTGCAGAGGAAAATCTCATTTTCACATTCAGATTACCTTCAAATTCTGTTATGAAATAACTTACCCTCCCCTAGCTACCGTTCATGCTCCTGTAGTACCCAAAGACCAAGTGTTTGTTTGATATCAAACTACATCTTCTAATCTAACAAGACACTTCAGAAGAATGCTCTTTGTTCTAATTTTTAAAGGAGTAGGAAGACTTAGGGACCCCAAATTACTGATCCCTCAAAAGCAATCAGAGGTCCTCTTATTGTTGCACTCGGGTGCACCCAATACACAGCTCAACCAATGAAGTTCCCCCATCTTCAGTTTTCTTGCCAACTGTGGTCTTCTGTGTTCAAAGGTGACCCACTTTAATCTAGACCATGCTTTAACTATTCATAGCCTAGTACCTATTTTATTTAACTACATCATAATATGCCTCCTTCCCAAGAATAACTCTTTGAAGTGAAACAGAGCAGCCTGGTATTGGACATTATTAATGGTAGCCTTTAGTTGGAAATCTTTGCACTTAACTCACATTTGGTTACACTGGGTCACCAATTTTCCAAACCAGAGCCAGAACAAGGTTCAGAGTTATGTCAGAATTCACCCATTTTTACAGGGTGGGGGTGGCATAGGAAGAGGGTTGGGAAGTGTGTGAAACAGAACAATTCTTACATCACTAGCAATCTCTCTTGAAGCCTTTGCTGTCTGGAATGGGATGGCGTCAATCCTAAAATCATAGCCAGATGCCCTTGTCTGTTCCCAAGATGTTTTATACAATTTCTGTGTTGAAAAGAAAAGAACAAAACAGTCATTTCCCCCTGCAGTTTCTTAAATGCAGTCCCATAACTGCAATAATAAATGTTTTATCCTACTGGGCTTATTTGTATCAAGAGTCATCAGTACCATCTCCAAGGTTTTGATCCAGTTCTATAGCACTTCAACTTCTTTTCCATTCACCATAATGATAAAATGCCTCATCTGAAAAGTGCCACCAGGGTTTCCTTTTGTACTTGAATGTGGTTGGTTTTGATGTGATTTAATTTCTATTAGAAACTGTGAGGCATCAGTCACATCAATATTGCATTGATATTGCCCTTATTCTCTCTTTTGATGCATCCACTTGCAGTGTCTTGGGTTTCGTGGCATCATAATTTCAATACCAGTTATTTCAAGCTTTTCAAATGATCCCTGTCTCTATCCCCAGCCACATGTGGCTTCATTAACTCATATGGAATAACAGCCGGTTCTAACATATTTAATGTGACTTTGAGGATGTGAAATACGTTTACATCCTGAAGAGAAA